AGTAGTATCGTTTTTGAAGCGGGAAGCTCAAAATAACGCAAATTTCTTACGCAGATTGTGAAGTTATGAGTGCATTTCAGACTTTGCCGATGCGCTCATCGTGATTTTTGAGGCATTATCTATAGGAAACAACTCTTCATTCTGCTCTAGCAAAAGTTTGCAACAGGCCCATTATGATTTAGTTTTTAGCTTTGGCGATGCACGTGTTCACGCCGTCACCGCCGTGAAAACTAGCAGCTCATATCCCGAATTGTCGCTCCTCGGCCTGCGTTCCGCGGCCGGTGCCTTCTCCGCTTCCCCGCGCCCGGAGCCTCTCCCGCGTCGCGGCCCCCGCGCGTCGCCTGCGGCTATCTTGCGCATCTCCACCGCCCGCGCTGATGACCCCGCCGTGCGTCACCTCCGCACTCAAGGCTGCGTCACGCTCCTCCGCCATGCTCGGCGCTTGCCTCTAGCACCCGCTATCCGCGCCGCTGGCCCTGCTTCCGTCACCCGCGCCGCGGTTGCGTCACAGCATCATGGGAGCAGCGCGCGCTGCCTCCTCTCCTGCCCTTGCGACCATGCGTATGCCGTTCGCACTTCCCACGTTACGCAACGGCACGTGTCGCGGCACGTGATCCATCCATCTCGCTCCTACGCATTGAGGCAAGCGGTCGTCTCCTCTCACTCTGGCGGGTATAAATACGGTACCGTGACCTGCTCCATCCGTCACTTCCATCGCCACTTCCATGAGAGACGCTCTCGCGGCACATCTTGCTTTGACCAGCTCCCGAGAGTTCCTCTCCAGGGCACTTCCTTGAGAGACACTCTCGCGGTACATCTTGCTTTGACCAGCTCTCGAGAGTTCCTCTCTAGGTCACGCCGCACCGGCCACCTGCAACGCTCCGCTACAGGTGCCGACCCTAGGAGTTCCTCCTTAAGAACGTCTCCCCCCCACCCTTGGAGTCACCTCCTTAAGGCTGGTATTCATTCCTCCCACCAAACCAACCCCAAAGGAGTTTCTCCTAGGGCTTTATTTCCCACCTCCTCTGGAAAGCCCTGGCGAGTTCCTCTCAGGGGTCCCACCGCGCCTCGAGCGCAAAAATTCCCTCAACGCCTCCGGCGTAAACATTGGTGCCGAAACCCGGGAAGTAGGGCTCAGTTGCCGGACTTCCCGAAAGCACGATCCATAAAAAATTCAGTCTAATATTATTCCATTGTTCTAGTCTGTTTCCATGTTTTTCCTTTGCAGGTTCCCTATCTCTTAAGAAAAACCAGACTAACCTTCCTTCCAGATTTCACAGGTCCCTAGAACCTGTTTCCGTGTATTCTTGCAGGTTCCCTACCTCTAAGAAAAAAACCTAGCCTACCTCCGATAACCCTCTCCAGATTCCCGCGGTTGTTTTGAAAAGAAAAGATGAGCAGCAACGAAGATGAGGCCGCCGCGTCTCGAGCAGAACGCAACCGGGCAGCTCAGCAATTGAAAGCAAAGAGAAACCTTCTCGTTGAACAAGTCCGCGCTACCCGGGACGCCTTCAGGCTTTTGACAGACGAAACGGTCGAGCATCACAGAGCCAGGTTTGATAAACTCAAGATCCTACAGGCGAGGTTCGAAGAATTTCAAGATCAAGCAATAGAGATGAACAGCCTCCTGTGCAGCAACAACCAGATAGAGCTATCGCAGGCACAGGCTGATTTCGACCGCATCCACAACGAAGCCGCAGTAGCTTTTCTATCCAAAGTTCCCAAAGCTACCCGAGAAACGACCTTCATGAACAACACCTCATTCTCCACCACCTCCATCAGGCTCCCCAAACTGGAACTGCCCAAGTACAGTGGAGATCTGGGAAGCTGGAGGACTTGGCACAATCTGTACAAAGCCTCCGTGCATACCAGCCCGTCCTTGCTAGGCGTGCAAAAGTTTCAGTACCTAATAGGTAGTCTGAAAGGTGATGCTCTCGCCCTAGTCACAGGACTTGACATCACCGCGGAAAACTATGAGGTAGCTTGGAAGCTCCTATGCGATCGTTACCATTCTGAACGTCGTCACGTCTTCTTCCACTTTCATGGGCTGTTGGACCTGCCGGACGTCAAACATTCAGAACAGATTCCCCCGCTCATAACCAAGATTAGAGAGCACTCTCAGGCTCTCCAAGCCTTAGGTCATGCTCCGGATACCTACGCCGGACTCCTAACGGCTCACATCATCAGGAAGCTGTCATACCGCTTGAGACAGCGACTCGAAGACTATAGAGGCGCCGACTCAACCTACCCCAAACTCGAAGAATTAATGGAATTCCTCGAAAAGGAGCGACGCGGCTCGGAGGACACCCTGTCCAGCCCCAAGGAGACCAAGACACTGGTCACCTCTCAGCCCAAAAATGCTGGAGGAAAACCGTGGAAATCCAAGCCCAGAGGGGAAACCGTACTCACAGCAACCTCCACTCCCGAAGATGAACCAGACAAATCTTCATCCTCCCACCAAAAGGACCCACAGTGTCCGCTATGCCTCACCGCACACCGATTGCGGCAATGCCCTACCTTCCAGGCCAAGAGTGCGGCGGACAGACGCTCGTACATCGAAGCAAGCAACAGATGCTTCAACTGCCTTGGCCTGCACAAAGTCTCTCAATGCAGCAACACTGGAACTTGCTCCGAATGCGGTAGGAAGCACAACACCATGCTGCACGAAGAGAATCCTCCCACCAAGAAAGCTCTCACTGCATCGCTCGCAGGGAGCAGCCCCTCCTCCACTTCCACGGTCCTATTAGCCACCGCACGCCTCAGGATAAGAACCCGATACGGCTCCAAAGTAGTAAGGGGCATATTGGACTCCGCCTCTCAGAGCACGCTGATCACCCGACAGCTAGCTGAGGACCTAGGACTCCCTGTCCAACCAGCTCAAACCGGCGTCAGCGGATTATCCGGCTCCCCCGTGGAATCCTACGGTCAGGTCCATGTGAACATGACCTCCATCGGACACTTCTCCGTAGCCAAAAGACATCCCGTCACCGTCATAGACAAAATCACTGATCCGACTCCATGCCCAGCCATAGCGAGTAACATCAGGAAACTAGTGAAAGGATGGGACCTCGCCGATCCCACTTTCGACCAAACAGGAGAGATCCAGATCCTTCTAGGTGCAGATCTGTACCCCGGGCTGATAGCAGGTCCCCCCATACCATTGGGACCATCCCTACCCACGGCCTTCCAGACGAAACTAGGATGCGTACTCATGGGCCCCGCACCAGCTGCCTCCAACAGCCCACGCACCCTTCTAACGAGCCTAAACGTCTATCTGAGCTGTGACCCATCCAGTGAGATGCAGAGCTCCTGGGAGATAGAGGATTTCAAACCTCAAGTGCCATCCCAACCGCCCGAAGACCTTGGCAAAACGCATTACCAGAAGACTACGGAACGCCTTCCGACCGGACGCTACAGGTTCCGGCTGCCATTCGCGGAGGACCCCTCCTCCTTAGGAGACTCCCGAAATCAAGCGGTCCCGCTCAGCTCCAGAGGGCAGAAAAAAGGTTTTCTCCTGCGATATCCACCAGATGTGCCTGCAAGTCAGCCTGCACCCAGAAGATCGCCACTTCCACGTAGTCCTATGGCGACCAGAGGAATCCTCACCACAGCCCCTCCCGACAACCACCTCCTAAAAAACTCCTGTACATCTCCGCACCTAAATGCACATTCCAAACACCCCTTATCGCCGTATATTAAGCACTGTGCACCTCATTTATTTATCTACCCTAATTCCCTTTTCTCCCTCTACCCATGCCTTCTTGGCTTGCTTTATATCTTTACCCTAATTCCTTTTTCTCCCTCTATCCATGCCTTCTTGGCTTGCTTTACCTTCTTACAACTTGTATTCTTCTATAATCTCTCTACGAGGAATTATGGGGGGCGGAATGTTCACGCCGTCACCGCCGTGGAAACTAGCAGCTCATATCCCGAATTGTCGCTCCTCGGCCTGCGTTCCGCGGCCGGTGCCTTCTCCGCTTCCCCGCGCCCGGAGCCTCTCCCGCGTCGCAGCGTCGCGGCCCCCGCGCGTCGCCTGCGGCTATCTTGCGCATCTCCACCGCCCGCGCTGATGACCCCGCCGTGCGTCACCTCCGCACCCAAGGCTGCGTCACGCTCCTCCGCCATGCTCGGCGCTTGCCTCTAGCACCCGCTATCC